TGCGGGAGCCCACCAGCCTCCGTGTGTGCCCATTGCGGGAGCCCACCAGCCTCCGTGTGTGCCCATTGCGGGAGCCCACCAGCCTCCGTGTGTGCCCATTGCGGGCTCCCCGCGGCACCTCGGCGGCTGCGGCTGCCCCGGGGCGGGGCACCGTGGCTCGGACCGTGTGTGGCATCGGGACGGTGAGGACGACCTTCAGTCCCCTCCTGATGCGCGTCACTGCGCGGATGAGCGCTTCCCGTCGAAACTGGCCTGGAGGTGGAAGGCGTCAATGTGTAACGCGGGGCTGTGGGCTGTCCCCCGAGGGCGTGGGGAGAGACGAGGCGAGCCGGGGGCTATAAGAGGCCATCCATCCCCACGGAGCCTCTGGCCAAGGGACACGGACGGACCGAGGGAACAGATGCCGAAGGGAACCCTCGCAGGTTGTGATGGTTAAGGCGGGACACATCGTGCTCTCGTTTTGCAGAGGAGACTCTGGTAAATGACGCTGGCTGGTGTTTTCTAGCAGCGCCGGCTCACATCTGCCTGCATGGATGCGTGCTAGTGTCCGACGGACGCTGAAGCTGTACTTTTGTTGGGGTGGGTGGGGGGTCCATCTGCTCTGGAGCAGTGAGGCTCTGGAAACAGGTAGGACTGGTTCTGCTGAGCTGACAGATTTGTACAAAGCTGACTGGTTTATGTGCTGCCCCACTGATGCTTCTTAATGTAAACTAATTTTGTACAGTAGAAAAACATTATTGTGTTGTTTGTAAGTTTTGTTTTGGTGTTTTGTTTTAAATTTCACACTTCTGTCATCCTTCAGAAATAGAAGGAAACCTTGATACTGACAACTCTCTTGCTTGACTGACAGAACGGCAAGTAGAGAAATGTGAGAAGTACGCAGACCTGAATATTGAGAACTATAAATACGTATATATATTCTGTGTCACACAGGAAGCTACTGTAGTTAGAACATTGGTTAAAATCTGATGCCATGGAAGTACAGATAAATCTTTTAGTGAATTTAATATAGTGCTTATGCTGTTGCATCAGTACATGTGCAGGTGTTTGGATATGACAGGTATGTTAAAAGCAAGTATAATGCACCAGTCTCACACTCTAGGTGTTACTTACAATCTAAGGGCAGCAGAAATTTCAGATAATTGCAAGAACTTGCCTGAAAAATAAATAGAAATTTACAAGAAATCTGATTCAGCTTAAAATGAGCGATGTCACTTTTCTGGCTGGTACCATTCTTGATTTGTAGCAGTCCCTTGCAAAACTTGACTAGTCCAGTGTTAATCACGCAGTGTTTCTGCTGACATCAGCTTTCTTTGCAGCCATATGCTGTTCACAGAAAGCAACACATTTCCCTGGGCTCCAGCTGCACAAAGAACTGGAAACAATCACATTGCTACTGTCTTTCTCAAGATTCCCTTTGCCACAGATTAATAGAAGTTGTTGTGCTGAGGGCTAATGTTTCAGTGGTACTCATGTTCTTTTTTTGTGCTCATCTGTCATCTTTAAGCCAAATTCTAAGATTTATAGGAAGGGAGTTCAGTATTGTGATAATAGTGCTCAGAGCAAAGCAAATTGCTGCAGCCAGACACTTCTCTCTTCCCACATTGACACTGTTGTTCAGTTTTTTCTCTAGGGTTTCTTTTTGTTGTGGTTGGTAAAGGCTTTCATCAAGCAGCTCTCCCTCTGATTCTTATTCGCAGTGAGTACAACTCACTGAAAAGCTTTTTCTCACCAAATTTCTGGTTACTGTTCAATTCTTTATTCTTCATGTCTATTTTTCAGTATTTTTAATTTGATTTGGCTTCCTGGAACAATATCTCTAGGCTTAGTGAACAGGAAGGTTTGTGAAACTGTTCCTACCTGAATCCTGAACCTTAAATGGCTGTTTATCTGTTACCAGGATCAGCCAAGTCTTCCTGGATGGTTCTGAGAAAAAAGCCCAAAACTATTGACTCCCCTCACTCCCTTCTGTGTAGGCTTCTGCTTCTTCATTTTTGGTGTCCACATTTATCTTTACAGTTTGTGTCCTCCTTCTGTGGAGACAGAGAATAGTAGAAGGTGCTTTGAATCCTTCCCAAGTGGATGCACAGATTTGATGTTCATGCAAGTGAAGGTTTAATTCTCACTATCAGTTCTTTTCCCTGCTACCGAGATGTTACAGTACAACTTGCCACTTCAAGAGAAGAATTAAATAATGTGCCAATAGGAAGTGGATTGATATCCATGGTACCAGCAGTGGCTTGGTTGTCCAGGACATCTCTAACTAACATAGCAGAGGGCTCTGGGGAACAGGCTCCTCATGCAGGTCTGGCAGCTCCCTGCTCTCTGTGGCCTTGAGCCTTCAGGGGTCTTAGAATATATCTCAGTCTAAGTATCAGGCACATAGCAGTATGAGGTTAAGGAGTAACCTGGAAAAACAGGAAGGGAAGGAAAGGGAGGAGAAGGGAAGGGAAAGTCCGATCATTAAAAACAGACACTGGGATTTTATAGATCTGTTATTCCTCTGAGGATGATTTCTGAGGGGGGAAATGATGGTGTTTTTTGCTTGACATTTGTGGACTGTAAATGGTTTGGAACATTCAGAGAGTAGAGATGGTTTTGGCGCCTAAAGTTTTGCTATTCGGCGAAAAGATGCAAAAGAGATCTGTGATGCAAAATAGGAGTTGTCCAGATGTAGGAGGTCAGCACTTTTACTGCTGTAAATTTGGTGCAGTTGGTTAAATTAAATTATACTGTGCAGCATTGCAGCAGGTGACAAACTAATCCAGAGGTTTATAGTGTTTCTATTAGAAGAGACTACGTGATCATCTAAGACTATGAAAACTCTTTTCCTCTCTTGCCCAGTCCTTGCTTCCTTCCCATTAAATGTTTAGAATAGCAGAACTGAACTCAAGGGTTGTCTTTGTGCCAAATTTTAAGGCATTGATATAATGGAGATCAATATTACAGCTAAAATGTGTTTGTTTTCTAGAGTTTACTTTTTAAACAAATATGAGTTGGGGCTATTCACTGTCTACCTCCATTATTGTAGAATTTTTCTGAAAGCTTCCTCGCTTTGTCTCATTGTCTGCTTTTAAAGCTGTTACTTATTTCCACTATTTTATCCTCTAGGCAGGGACAAAACAAACCAAGTGATAATTACTTAATGCATGGAGAGATGCATAGGTCAGCTCTTGGGGACTGCATTCAAATAACTCAAATATTTAATGTAGAAATACGGGGATCCCTTTTTGTGTAAAGGATATTATAGGAAAGTGCCTATGATTTGTGTCTATCCCAGCTGCCACCCTTGCATCTCGCAGGATCAAGGGACACTCAACAGGCATTGGAGTGAGGAAGTCAGAGCTGAAACAAGTAACTTTGTAACAATTGTAACTGGAATGTTGTATCTTCAAGGCCAGTCAGTATATTAACCTTGTAAATCACTCCCAAAGGACCCAGGATGTCAAAATGTATTTTACATTGGTGGGCGATGTTTTTGCTATTTGAGGGTTCAAGGCTGCTGTCAGATGTTAATTAATTGCAGGGGATCAGTACTTCTCCACTGAGATAACTTGTTTGCTTCTGAAATTCCTCTGAGAAGATTTTAAAAAGAAGAAATTTCATGTGAAACCACCATTTTTTCAGAGTTGTGTTAACTGTTGCAGTGATACATTGCCTGAAAACTTGCTTTGTTCTTTTTCTGCAGGTAGTTGTCACATGAAGGTACATTTATAGGAAACTGACTCATCATCTGTGAGTATCTACCCTCAAAGTAACATTTAAGTGTATCTGTAAACTAGAACTCCCCTCTTTCATGTCTCCATACAATTCCTCAAAATTTTATACTATAGTGTTTTTGTTAAGTTTTCCATGTAAATTCTTAATAATTGCCCAAGAAAAGGGTGTGAGGAACTCAAATGGGAATTCTGTTATTGTCTGCTTTCTTTCCCCATTGCTTTCATAAAGCAGTATTTTTTTTTTTCCATTTCCTCTGGGTTCCTAAATCAAAAAGGCAGTGCAATACATTTATTTTTCTGCTTTGCCTCTTGGGAGTCTCCCAGAGCAGAGCTGTTACTGCAACAGTCTTAATGCTTAAGGTTCATTGTGGAGATGGTCCTTGAGAATATTTCATGAAGAGAACAGGGTAAGATCTTACCTCTTTCTATCTTCCAGGGTGAAGGAAATAAAACTATTTAGAATCATATATTGAGTTAGTGGCAGAGCCAGGAGCAGAGCATGTGTTTTGTGATCATCACTTGGGCAGATTGCACCCTGTAGAGAGGGAGGGCAGGCTGGTTGTGTGCACAGAGAGACTCCAAAGCAATGTAGCCTGGAAAACCGACTATATTTGCTAAATTTTATAAGCATTGATCCCTACATTCACATGCTAGTTTTGAGAAGATGTGAGGGAGGTGGGTTACTTAAAGCCATAGACACACAGGTGATGGATTGTGCCGTGCAAAAGAGCAAGGTGGTATTTCTGGAGTCCAGGAAGTGATTGCCAGTTTGGGGAAGGTTCATGTATGCCAACTGCACAGAGGGCAGACACTCTAACAGGTTATAGCAGATTTTTGTGTGCATGTTTGCTGCTGTCATGTCTTGGCATATAAGCCACACCTTTACACAGACTTAGAGCTCACTTCACTAAATATATTAGAAGTGATTTTTGGATGCAGCTCTCTACACATAGTTTTGTTGACAAAGCAGAGTACTTAACTGTTACTACTGCCAAAATGTCATTTTTCCTCTTGATCTGCCCCTCCCAGAGTACACTATCTTGTGGCAAACACCAAATAAATGGCAAGACACTGTGCTGAGGAGGGAACTGAGTAGAGATTTTTTGCTCCTTTCTTGATATTCATGGTTTTAACAGCAGATGACTATGGAGCTCTCTTGTTGAACCGTGGCAGTTATTGTTGCCTGAAGTTTTCACAAAGCCTGCTTAGCACTCAGCAAATTAAATGCTTTTCTGTCATGCAGTGCTGGTATATGTACAAATCATTATGCTTTGGGTGCTGTCTTTCTGTTAGATAGCAGAGGTGCAAGTATGGCAGCTCCAGTTTCATTGCCTGTGTGCTGTGCTGCAGCTGTTCAAGAAGAATGGCTGAAGCCAGCCTCTGCCTGGATGTGCCCTTCTCTGCACAACTGCCTTGTGTTCACAGCCCGTGGTCAGTCACGTTTCTAACGCTCTGCTCTGTTTGGGTTTTGTTTGCACAGGTGCTGCCTCTGCCTCTGCACCCAGTTGACAAGATGGTATTTCGGAAGCCACCAGATGGTGGCTGGGGCTGGGTGATTGTTGTAGTTTCCTTCTTCACCCAGTTCCTGTGTTACGGATCACCGCTGGCGGTGGGAGTCTTGTATTTAGAGTGGCTGGATGCTTTTGGAGAAGGGAAAGGCAAGACTGCTTGGGTTGGATCACTAGCAAATGGAATTGGATTGCTTGCCAGTAAGTGCAGAAGTAATATCTATCTTCAACTGAAACGTTTCCAATTGATGCTTTCGTCTGTGTGTGCTCTTGGAATTGCATCAAAGATAGCTGCAAATGAGGGTGCTGCATTTTTGTTTTAGGTCAAGATGGGTAAGAAGATTACATTTATAGTTTCGCTATGCATAAACCAGAGAAATATAATGATAAAAGAGCAATGAAAATATTCCCTTTAGAAAATTCAAAATGATTGTGTTTGAATAAACTAGGAAAGCCACACTCTGGGAAGCTGAACGGTAATTTTGTTGATGCAATATTTTTTTTTTAAAATGAGACTTCAAGACTAACATTTACATTATTGTCTTAAAATCAGAGCAAACTGTTAGCCTGAAATGTTCAAGTGCTTTATGGAAAAAAGTCAATAAACTAGTTACTAATTTTTCAGCTCTAGCAATAAACCTACCAGTGAGAGTGGGTGGGGGCTCCTTTGCATTCTCTATTTGAGAAAAAACTCCCTTTGGAGGCTGGAAAGTTATGGGTAACAGTAGCATTAAATAAACAAACTTTACTGGAAGCTTTTCTTTGGCAAGACATTGTCACTTGCAGAGTAACAGCAAAGTTTTAGGAAAATAAAACCTCACCTTGACATTTCCTAGGTTGTTGTTTTAATATCAGGCACGTGCATTTACGGGGTCATATCACTAACTTCTGTTTTTCAAAGATTCACCACAGAACTATTGTCTATTTGCTGGATCTGGAAAAAAATGCTTGTCAGCATGGCAGCTGCTACAGGCAAAAACAATAATGTGGTTTAATGGACAAAATGCAGCTCAGGATCCTGAGGAAACTATCCTCAAAAGAAAGTTGGATGTTCCAATAGCAATACAGACCCGAATAAAGAATCCTGCTTTGTATGGCCCTGGAGCTGATCAAATACTGGTGTCACATCTGTGTTAGGGTTTTTAATGACTGGGCAGAAGACAAATGGGCAAAGGCAGGTGGATCACTAGCCACAAGAAGACTGTATTCAGTGTCAGGATGTAAGTGGGTAAAGGGCTGTCAATTGCTCTTCCATCATGCTTTTTTATTTTTCTGTGTTATGGATATTAGTTCCTGCTGTAAGTTTATCAAGAGCTAAATAAACTTGAATGAAAGAGTGAAGTGGGAGGAAAATAAGGATAAGCAAGGTAATCACTGAAGGAAAAACTAGGCAGAAGGAAATTTCAAGAGAACTTGTAGGAGACCAGAAGTCTCTGGCTCTGTTAAAAGTCTCAGTACCCTTTCCTTTATGTCAACACCATGCTAGTTTCCAGATTTTAGTGCTGTCTTGCTACTGTGAGCAATTCTCAGCAGTGTGCTTTGTAGCTGTGCTGGTTTTGGCTGGGGTAGAGTTCATTTTCTTCTGAGTGGCAGTGTTTTGGATATGTGCTGAATACAGAATTGACATACGTAGAGATGTTTTTCTTGCTGGTGAGCAGGGCCAACAGAGTCAAAGTCTTTCCTGCTGTTCCTGCTGCCAGGCTGGTGAGGAGTCTGGGGGTACACAGGAAATCAGGAAGAGACACACCCAGGACAGGTCACCCCAAGTGACCAAAAGGATGGTCATGTCACATGCTCAGTATATAAAGAGTGGGGAGAAGGAGGAAGGGAGGGAAATCTTCTGAGAGATGGCATTTGTCTTCCCAAGTCACATGTGATAGGGCCCTGCTCTCCTGGAGGTGGCTGAACACCTGCCCTACCATGGGGAGCAGTGAATGAGTTCCTTGGTTTGCTTTGCCTGCATGCAACCTGTGCTTTGCTTTCCCTATTAAACTGCCTTTATGTCAACCCAGGAGTTTTCCAGGTTTTACCCTTCTGAGTCTCCCCATTTCTGCTGGTGGGGGGGGTGAGATAGTGGCTGCATAGGCTTGTTTATGGCTGGGGTTAAACCATGACAGCAGCAAATGGTAAGTCCTGTGATGAATAATACAAATCAAAGGTGCTTTTGTGACTGATTTTGATACGGAATTATTAAATGACGGTTTGACAGGTTGGGAGGAATGCTGTCTGTCCACGTGATTCTGTTCTTTCAGTTCGGTATTTAGAAGCTTAATAATCATTCCTACCTTTTATGCCTTCAAAAGAAAGTACAGGAAGGGTCTTTTTATTACACTGATGTTATCAGAGTTGACTAAAGACAAATCCTGAAATGAAAGATCCCACTGTTTGTCAAGCTGGGATCTGACCCTAATGATAAATCTACTAAATTTCCTCCTTAAAGGTATGCAATGTTACGATACAAGTTGTTTAGTTTTAGTTTTCAGCTGATAAATAACGTTATCTTTAAATGCTATATTTTGAAGTGACTCTTGATTAGTGTGATGGATGTCTAGAGAATGTAATCAAATTACTTCTAATTTTTTTCTTTAAAGCCTGTAACTTGATACAGTCTTTTAGCCAAGACTTCCACATTTTTAATTAAGGCTCTACTGGAGAGCCATTAAGACTCTTCTGTGAGCTTTCCTCAGCTTCACCATTCTGAAGCTGTAGATGCCAGACTGGAAAAGGAATGACAATTATGGTAGATTAGCAGCCACAGACAGGAAATAAATCAGTGTCCATTTTCTTTGAAGACTTTTCTCATTGGTAGCACTGGCAATCACATTCACCAGCTTCCATAACAGAGAAAGTTAGGGCCAGTGACTCTGCTGCATTGGTACTGTGATTGCACCAAACCCAGAAAGAAGTGTATGGCATCTGGCACAGAAAAAGTTTCTCTGTTCTCTCCCTTTCCCTGTGTTCCTGTGGTCTGAAACATTTTTTTAAGCAGCTGATGCTGGTGAGCACTTTCATGTTTTCTGCATTGGTATCCTTTCTAAAACGTTTACTTCTGACTTATTTGAGGGCTAAACTTAGACTGGAGACATAGAAACCCAGTACAGCACCTTGTTTATCTGGATCCATTTCCTGGGCACCTGGTGTTCGATTGCTGTCCTTTTGCTCGCAGCACAGGCGGTGTTGCTAAGGCCAGTGTCCCGCCTGAGCTGGACCGTTCACCTCATCAGCTGGAAAGGGAACAGGGCAGGGATCTGGTTGAGCTCTTCCTCACAGGATGACTTGGGTTATGACTTTCTCTGATGAAACTTTACAGAGCAGTAGAAGAAATGTGCCTAGAACAGTGTTAGCAAGCATTAGTGTTATTGTAGAGGGCAGAGGTGAGAGCTCCTCTGCAGAATTAGGTGTTACAGTATTGGTCAGGCTCTGGCAGTTGTGGCACATGGCTCCAGGGCTTATTTGACAGGAAGAAATTGAAAAAGCTTGGTAGGTTTCCCTTACTAAAACAGGTCAGAGGAGGATATTTATATATATTCTATGCGTTTCTTCTGCACCAAGTGTTCTTAATTTTGTATCCATTTGGAGCCTGAAATTAAATTTGATCCATGTTACACTTGTTAAAAGCAAAACAAAGACTTGGCGCCTGTAATTGGCACCACAGCTGTTTATATTAAGAGTTGACTTCACAGTCCTTGGCATAGGAGAAGACACCAGCCATGTCTCCATTCCTACTTCCCTTCATTAGTGGAGAGAACAAAAGGAGAATTCTCTCTGGAAAGGCATGCCTTGATAATTTGATGGAATGTTTCTGCTGATCTGAGGCATTCAGTGCTAGATGTTTAAAAAGCTTTATTTTGTGTTTTCAAGCAACAGTTTTACTACTCCATAACTGCTTTTTCATCATCTACATATTTTTGGACAGAAACCTCACACAGACATTACTTCCACACATACAACTTCCACTGTAAAGTATGGAAGCTGTAAATAGCTTGTGCACAGGGGAGAAGGTGTCCCCAAGATTCCCCTGAAAAGAAGCCCAGTTCATATAACAACTTTTTTTAGATGGGAACTGTCTTTCCAATCATTTGGGAGTGGGTTGCTGCCCAGTATGAAAAGCTTTTTTCTGATCTGTATTCATATCCAAAGTACAGGCATTTGGAGGACATTATATTTATTACAACCATGTTTTAGAAATGCACTTAATGCACAAAAAATATTTTTGTATTCTGGCCAGTGGATTTTACATGCAGTCCATGACCATTTTTTCTACTCCACAGTTTCAACCAGCTCGGACAGATGCCCAGGTAGGGTGGGTCAGATTAATGCTGGTGATAAGAAAAATAACTCAGTTGTCCAGTATAGTTTGTTTAGGAAAAGGTTTTGTGTATGAGGTGAAGGAGGGAGAGCCCTTGAGATTAGTGACTGGAGGGAGGGAGTGTTGTTTTGCAGGATTTTTTCACTTTATGTGAAAATATTGAGGAAAAAGTTTTAGTTCTTGATATCCATAAAACAAAACAACTTTGTACTTGTCAGGAGGTCAGCACATTTCTGTAGGTTTAAGTTCCTGAGTGCAGCAGGTGGCTTGTTTTCATGTCTCAGGAAAGACTCACTGACACATCCAGGTCTCACTGAGGGTAAAATATTTAATTCAAAATAATCTTAATAAAATTACCAATGTACAAATGATCCCTCCCAGGTGTTCTTCTTCTTTGATCTCTCTGTATGAAGATCATCTGTGAAAACCAATCTTCCTTCTGCTGCTGCTTCCCGTTTTGTCTGGAGATCTTGTTGACTGCTCCCCTGATAATTGTGTTGCTGACTGCGAGCCATGACAGGTTGTGTGCAGAGGAGCAGTGTCTGTTGTTGTGCTGAATCTTTCTTCCTAGAGTTAGCTGTCATTCCAATAAACTGTGCTGCTGTCTTTTTTTGATTGAGTTTGGTCTAGTTTTAAGATACATCATTTGGAAAGGAAAAAGCCCTAGGGATTTTATTTGTAAAAGAGGTAAATATTTATCAATGTCATCAAATATTGTACTGATTCCAGTGCTAACCCCTGGAGCTGCTGGCAAACTGAACAAAACGATGGCTTAAAAGCTAATTTTCATGCTTATTATTGAAGATTGCCACTGGGTTTTTTTTTTATGTTGTTCATATTATGGTGAGAGTCAGCTAATGAAAACCCTTATGCTGCCTGAAGATCTGTTTCCTTTGTGGCTGTATGCAGACTCTTGCATTCTTCAGAATGCCCACTTTCAGCAAAATCCACAGGGCAGGTCTCAGTCCCACTCTGTGAAAGCTGGATTTTTACTAGAATTTACTGCCTTGAATCCATTGTGCTTCAAATATCTGTAAAGAATAACAAGTTTGTGTACAGTCAACTCCTGTGCAAATACCATGGAAATAACTGAAGGTGCTGTGCCTTGTGGGAAAAAAATGCCAGTGCCAGGAAACAGAGAAAGGGAAGCAGTGCAAGGAGGCAGGAAAGGACAAAGATGCTGGCTGTCAGGGGAATTTTCTTTTGTGACTCATTTTCTAACAGTGTGAAAGTCGTGCCTAGTGTGAAGATGGAGCTGTTTTTCTGCTCAACTCAGAGACCTATAATAACTATATTAGTGCTTACACTGGCGCTCCTTCTTATAAACAGGGCTGTTGCTGAGTTGCCAGATGTCTTGCTGTGTGAGATGTTAGATTAATACTGAGCTTACAGGTCCTTCAGTTTTGTGCAGGTTGTTTTCCACGTTAGAGCAAAAAGATCTCTTTGTACTCTTTGTTCTCCGTTGGGATTTTGTAAGTGGGAGAAGCTAGAAGAGCATCTCGTTGGGCCTTGTCAGGGATGCTTTTGGTCACGTTCCAGTGGAGATGTCATTGTCAGGTTATGAAGCCACATCTTTCAGCTCTATGTCTCTCTTGTTCTGGCTTGGGGTCAGAGAGTCCAGTTCACCTCATGCTTTAGTGGGGGTCAGTGATGTCTTTACTAGCACCACCACCCCAGACTGGACAGAGACCATCTGAAAGCAACTGTGTCAAAATATAGACAGCAGGTGGAAGGGAAATGCTGTTTGTCGTAGCAAGGTAGTAGGTCAGAAACAAAGAATAGGAAGAATGCACATTCCTCTGTTTAATTGCATTATGTTAACACTACCTTTGGTTCTTTTAGTGTAGAAGAATTCTTTATATAATACAGAGTCAATCTTTTGTTCATTTTTAAATCCCGTGGTTTTAGGAAACATACCAATCTTAGTTTGCCAGTTCTAGTAATTAATTCAAAGAATCAGCAACAATCTAATGCTCTCAGCTTTTGTTCTCAGCATGTTACTCTGCCCAGGTTATGCTGGCCAGCTTTCATTCCCACAGCATGCTGACTCTTGAGAAGCAGCAAGTGCTTAGATCTTCCTTCTTCATTGCTTCCAAAATCCAATTAAACCTTTCTTTCCTGGAATATTTTCTTGATTCCTCTGTAACTCTGACTCTTTGCCTGGATAAGCCCCAGCTCAGACTCACCCCTCCTTCGTGTTCCCTGGGCAGATAGTCTTAATGTAGGGCAAAAGTTCTGGCCTGCCTTGTCTTTGAGGATCATTTCACCTTCTGACGAATCTCTGCTCCTGCCTGCCAGAACTGCTTGTCCCGTGGCCGGCAACCACAGGAAAACCTTGCCTACATTCCCAGCTGCTTGCTCCTGTCTACAAACCTAGGCAAGCACCATCCTCAGGCTCCAACTGTTTACCTCATATCACCTTTTTGGGCTCACCTCCCATCTGCTGGGAATCTCAGTTACATGAGTCAGGGAGCACTAACCTTGACAAATGGCAGACTCCAAAACTACTGCTTTTGCAGATTGAATCGACCACGGTGTGTGCGTGTGTATCACTTCAAATGAGATGTAAGTGTTGTGAGGTGGTTTTGTTTGTATTAAATAATGACATTCATCTGTGTATCTAACTTCTAGTCTCAGAGTTGCTGAGTTTAGAAATGGGGCTAATATCTAAGTTTACGTATGAAGGTTTGAAACTGCAGCGTTTCAGTTAAGTTGTCTTTGCAAGCCAAGTCCCTTGCTGGTTGATTATTTATGCAGGGCACCAAGCTTGCACACTACTTTAGACTAGAAGGTGTATTCCAGGTCACACAACTGAAAATAAGTGCTTGTTCTACGATTCCTGTGAGGAGAGAACTGGCTGAGTAGAGGCAGGGTATGAATTCTGCTTCACTTTGTTCTTGCTTTGAAGAACTAAGAGAACTAAGTACTGAGAAATATTGGGGAGTAAACCCTCATGAACCTGAATGTTGGTCTGGCTGCTCCCACTAAGTGACTTTTATTTCCTGTAGTTTTAGAGGAGAAGTGGAGATAGGTAGTGAAGGGTTCTTTGGTAGGACACCTGACTAGCGGATTTTTAACTCCTTCGAAAATCAGGGAAGAGTGGTGTTTGTCCTTGTCTGTATACCAGCAGATATTCCCTCTGGGTAAGCACCAGGTGGCATTCTTACCGTAACTATGATCCCAAGTTACTGTTTTCCTATTTCAGTCTTATAAACTGCATATCAAGATGAATACAGATACTGCATTTTTGAAACACAGTTTTTGTGCTCTGTAAAAAAATACCTGTTTGCTTAAGGCCAGGCTGATGCTCTACCTTGGCTTCATGTCTCAAGATTATGATTCTTTTCAGAACCTTTGTACACCTTGGTTGTGTGGTGACAGTGTTACAGTCCAGTATGTTTTGTATCTTCCTATGTGTAAGGAATGTTTCACTTGCTCTTTCTTTCCCAGGCCAAGTGCCCTTTCATGGCCTTAGTGTTCAGTTTCTTCTTGAGAAAAATTTTGCAAGCCTGACCTTTAATATTTTTATAACTGACTGCTTTAGAGAACCCTGTGAAAATGAGTACTCTGAATCATTATCTAATATAATTATACATTTAAATAGTTCTAATAAGAAACATTTCTACAGATTGATATGATTGATACTTTTTAAGAAGTTCTTCCTGGTGCTGGTGTATACTAGGAATGTTTTTCCTGTTTTTTCCCTCTAGGTCCTGTCTGCAGTATATGTGTATCATCTTTTGGAGCAAGACCAGTAGCTATCTTCAGTGGCTTTATGGTGGCTGGGGGCCTCATGATGAGCAGTTTTGCACCTAACATATACTTCCTATATGTTTCATATGGGATAGTTGTTGGTAAGAAACACCTTCCCTTAATTTGAGACTTAGTCTACATTATTTTGAGTCTTGGTTTATGAATACAAAATGTAAAACTGATTGACAGAGGCAGTGGTAGTTGGGGACTTGATCTTTCAAGGAATACTTTCCTTTTGGGCAGGAAGGGATGTTGCGTGGGCTGGCTGTTACCATCTATTAAAAGATAAAAACAATGTAAATGTTCATGAGGGTTTGAAAAGGATTTGTCCTCTGTTGACACGATTGTTAGAGATTGAGAAGCTGAGGTTTTACTGGAATTGAACAGGTCTTCTGCTGGCATGAAATCCCAGTCTTAAAGGAGTAATATCTCATCTGGATTTTTGTCACATCCTCATTCTAATTTGATAAATTAGAGATCATTAGGGAGCAATGTTGTTCTCCACATAACCTGACTGAACATAAAATGCTGTGCTAGAGGCATGAAAATGCTGTTCTGGCAGGTGATGACCTGCCCCTCTGTGCTGCTAAGGGTGGCTTATCAAATTAAATGTGTCAGGCACTTGGGCACCTCGCTGGCCAGCGGGGCCCCGGCGTCGTGCTGGCCAGGCACAGTGCCATGAGGAGGCAGCTCTGCCCAGCTCTGGGGCCAGCCCTGGGCTCAGAGCCCTGTATCCCTTCCACAGAGCACAGAACTTGGCTGGGGAGCTGCTCAAACCCAGCCTGCTCCACCCAGGCTCAGCAGCCAGGGATGGTCAGGGGAAGGGAGGCGGGACTGTGCAGGCAGCCTGATTGCCCTGTGCTGAGCCAGAGTCAAAAGGTACCTCAGTAACCAGGGCACACGATAGCAACACCTTCAGGGTAACAAAGGGGCATTAATTTTAATTAAAAGGATGTAGCATGTTTTATATCTAACTCTTTTTATACAGGTCTTGGATGTGGCCTTTTGTATACTGCAACGGTTACCATCACGTGCCAGTATTTTGACAAACGCAGAGGCCTTGCACTTGGTCTGATTTCAACAGGTAGGACTTTTAATTGTCATTCTCTCCAGCTTCTCAACTCTGATACAACCACTGTTACCCTAGCAATAGAAACCAGGTTATGTTTTTCTCAGTTACTTCTCAGTAACTTAAGAAAATTACTACTTTCTTAAATCAAAATATCAGTATCAATGAAGAGAAAAACTCAGGCTTCAGATAAAATAGTAACTACACTTGCAGGTTTGTGCTATGGGTGATCAATATGGATGAGGAAAGGATATTCACTGAAGTGAAAGCAGAGTCATGTAGCTTGGGCTGTGTGCCATGGGTAACGAGGGGAAACATTTCCTAGAGCCCTCTTTTTCTCTTTATTCTTACCCAGGATCAGAGGCAAGAAAGATTGGAGATGCAGGGTATAAATGCTGCATCGCCACTACCTCACAGTAGCTATACCTTTACACTTTTTAATGGCCCAAGTAGGAACCAACAGATGGCTGTTGTCCCATGCCTTGCTTTCTGTGTGCCATGGAGTGTCTGCTTTGACCTCTTTACTTGAGTAGATGTCACTGAGGAGATGCAGGATTAGTACAGCCAGTGTTGTGAGATACTAATACCACATCCACACAAGCTGAGTAAAGAGGATCTTCTGCAGATGTGTTTCTTGGGATCATTTTCAGTGTTTTTGTTTTGGATTCCATGTAGGTTGCCTTAAAGCCTGATCTTATTGTGCCCTGGTTAATTTTAGTACCTGGAAGGCAAAACAGGCATGGATTTTGTAATTGATTTTTCCTGTGTTTAGCACCAAAGTATATAAATGGCTTGAATATAACCTAGAAACAATCTTCAGAAAATAAAGTTTGTCATTAAATTGACTTGAAAACCAAAGTTCTGTGTTTGTGAGAGGGACATCCACTAGTTAAAATGGATAAGCGCTCACTTCAACCACGAGCCTTTTCTCTAAATTGCTGGGATTGCATTAAACGCTTGTGTTCACAGTAATTTCTCACTCTTCAGTGTTTGCTTCTGAATGGCCAAATTTCTCAAATGCATGTTTATTCCTGTAGAGCTTCAGAAATGCCTTTGGAGTAAACTCCTACCAGGCAAGCTCTGCTCCTTAAACACCTGGCAGTCAAGGGCTGCTTTTAGGAGGCGTGCTGAGGTGAACTCCTGGTCTGTTTGTGCCTGGGAGGAGGAAGGTGACAGCAAAGAGAAGAAAGGGAAAAATGTTAGAGTGGGAAATTCTACCTGTGCTAACTGGAAATGGTACCTGAAGGGATACATGTATATGAGAGAAGGGCAGAAGGGTGGCTTAGTAGTTCTTCGATGTTTTTAATCAAAGATTATGGTATTGATATGGTAAAGATATGGTATTGATCCTGCTTGTTTATAAAGTGTCTGCTGGTGTTATTTGTCACAAATTGTTCAGATATTTTGAGATTTTTTTTTTATTTAGTGGCAACTCAATAAAGAAACTGTTACTTCAGGAGGGATGATGACTTACCAGTTCATCAAACTTGGGAGAGTGGAGCACAAATGAATTACCATTCCTGTGGAAGTGTCTTCATAGCTGCTGAATTGTGCAATTTTGTTAGAGTTGAAGAATGGTCTTGGTTTAAATCAAACTTATTTTTCTTTTATAGGCTCAAGTGTTGGACTCTTTATATATGCAGCACTGCAGAGAGAGCTTATTGAGCTGTATGGACTGGATGGGTGTCTGCTAATAGTTGGTGCCCTGTCTCTAAATATATTAGCATGTGGCAGTCTAATGAGACCTTTGGAATCGTCCAGTTCTCCTCCACCAGATAAAATGTGTGTAGACAAAGTCCCAGAACAATATTTTGTTTACCATGAAAAGACTGTTGAAGAAAACATTAGCATCCTTGAAAAGGGCTATATTGATGAAAAAAGTGTGAACAATGTGCCTGATTGCAAACAGGATAGCATTTTGAATAAGAATGTATTGAGCTCAATAAATGTAAATGAGAAAGACACTTACAAAAAGAAAGTTGTGGAACAGACAAACTTCTGCAAGCAACTCGCCAAAAGGAAGTGGCAGCTCTATTTGACCTACTGGAAGGAGACCGTGGTTCTTTTCAAGAACAAAGTATTTTCAGCTCTCTTTGTTGCTATCTTGCTCTTTGATATTGGTGGATTTCCTCCTTCTCTGCTCATGGAAGATGTAGCAAGAAGTGCAAACATTAGTGAGGATGACTATTATATGCCCCTTATTTCCATTATTGGCATTATGACAACTGTTGGCAAACTTATTTTAGGAATACTGGCAGATTTTAAGTGGGTTAACACTTTATATCTCTATGTAACTACCTTATTAATGACAGGAGTGGCCTTGTTTGCAATTCCATTTGCCAAAAGTTACCTTACATTAGCGATGCTTTCTGGGATTTTGGGTTTTCTGACTGGGAACTGGTCAATTTTTCCGTATGTAACAACAAAGACTGTGGGGATTGAGAAACTGACTCATGCCTATGGGATATTGATGTTCTTCGCTGGACTTGGAAATAGCCTTGGACCACCAATTGTAGGTAAGGGCAAGATGGACAGTGTAAACTGAACATGAGCTTGTCACAACCAGACAGAATGCTTTTGCATAATGCAATAATAATAATAATGGAATGATGAAATCAAAATTTGCAGCAAAAAATAAAGGCTGTTTGGCTGATTGTGTTTGTAATATGGCTTTGAGGAAAAACAGATTTAATGTCTAAGTGGTCAAACAGTATTTTAGGTTTGGCCTATTTAATTTCATTTTATTTTGTTGTTGGAGGTTTTTTAATTTATATGTTGTTTCTCTGCATTATCAGTGCTGTGTTACATTTCACTGATGCACTTCTCTTATCCCCACCCTCAGGTTGGTTTTACGACTGGACGCAGGAGTACGATACTGCTTTCTATTTCAGTGGCTTTTGTGTCCTGCTGGGTGGATTTCTCCTGCTGTTGGCAGCACTGCCCTGCTGGAATGCCTGCACCGATCAGAGCTCCAAACTGCCTCCAAACACTTACTCCTACAAAGTTGCATCTAACACTTAGGTGACAACTGGAAAACACTTTGCGCCTTTTTATATTATATAGCAAAGTATTTTAGTAATTTTCCACTTATTTATGAAACCCACAAATCCTCTTTCCACTAGAAAAATTCCATTGTTGCTTGTTGTTCAGTTCCTTTTTCTTCTTTTATTTCTATTTTTTAATGCTGTTTTTAAAAACAGTCTGATTTTGTGTACTATGCACCATGCCTTTGTCTACTGTAATTTCCTTTCACCCTGTAAAGGGGATGTTCTGCTGTATTATCAGCTGTACATTTATTTTAAGGGGGGTTGGTAAGGAGGGGTGAACACTTTGAAGCAAAAATGAAGGCCTGCTCTTTATAGGAGAAGGCTGGCATTTCTGCCACCTTCCATAGGTCTCAGAGTTGCACAATTAGGCTTTACAAAATAAGAATTTGCCTTATTAAAATGTAATACTATGGCAATGCATTTTTAACATCATGCTTAGACTTTCTTGTCTTTTTAAAGTTTCTCCAATTTATGATTAAGTGCCAATTGTGGGAGGGAGAAGAGGGGAAACAAAATCAACTTTGTGTTGCATTGCATAACTGAAGTGAACATAATGATGAAAGTAAAGATTCTTATTACCACTGCGACTAAGAACTATGTTTATAAATATTGCACATTTTGTGAAGCCTGTTTATAAAACTGAACCAAAACCTTTTAAACCAAGGAATAAATGTGATTGTTGAAACCTCAAAAGAAATGCTGACTTGATTATGCAAGTTCATAATCTTTATACTGAGGTTGGAGAGATCCTCACTGAAGCCCACAGGTGAATGTTTCTAAGTGAGGCACTCATAGTCTTGTGGTCCTGGGGGCCTCTTGTTACACAGCCACAGCTCAGTAGATTGAAGCTGTTGCAGAAAGCTTAATAGTAGGGCTTTTAACAAGGTAGACCTGATTAAAAAGGGAAAATTTGACAGCAATGTCATCTCTGCTGTCCTTTATTGGAATGGATATAGCAAGGAGAAAAGTCAGCAATGGAGAGCAAAAAAAAACACATGGAGAAGGGTTAGCAGGAGAGGTTCAGAGAAAGCTGATGGGGAAAGACTTGCAACACTTGAACACCAAACAAGCCAGTGAAGAGAGAGCCCTTGAAACCTCTTGCCTCTCTAGCTACAGACTACCCCTGTGTGCATATTGGGTTTTGCTGGCATGACTGGGGGGAGCACTGTGTGATGATGAAACCTTTCCTGAACCAGGCAGGTGCTCCAGCAAAGGCAGAGTGACTCGGCTGGCTCTGCACTGCCCTGCGTGCCCTGTGCAATGGCTTTTGCTTATAGGGCTGCTCTCATGCCAAGGTTGTGTCTGGCTGTCGTGCACAGCAGTGACAGAAATCTATCCATGGCTGGCATGTCCTGTGCACTTTGGCTTCTTGCTGTAGATTTGACCTTTAGTGGAACATGTTGCAAGGCTTGGGTGAGGTGGAAGTTCTGAATCCTGAGTTACATCCTGCATGGCTGCCTGCAAATGCCCAAGTAGTTTTCAGCTGTGCTATGGGTTTCAAATGTCTAATGTGATTCTGGCTCATTAATAATTCTCAAGATAAAAGCCAGGGATATAACGAGCAACCTGTAGTGTCGAAGTTCTGTGCACAGAGTTACTGTGTTTGTACACCTCATTAAGCAAGAGGGACGCAACACCTAAGTGGGACAGACCTACATGCAAGTAATGTTCTCTCATCTGGTCCAAGGCAGGAAAATCCAGCTTGGCTTCAAACAGTTTTTGCTGACTTTCTGGGATTCACTTATGTTTGTTTTAAAACATGACAAAGATGCAGTTAGTTTGTGTCTCTATCTTTTTTCCCTTCCATTTGTCAACTGAGTATAACTACTGTGTGGGTTTTCTTCCTGGATTGCTTATTCAGCACATTTGGAAAGAATATTGAGTATTCTGGATAGTCATGAATGTAACTGCAGTCCTAAATTGGAGTCCTGGGTATCTGATGTGGATTTGCACCCATTTTATGTGCTCTTATGATGGCTGTAGTTGTATTTCACCATGTGTATATTAAAGTAATACCATGTTTTACACATCTTAAAGAAACTGTGGGGATATCCTGGGTATGATCAGGGCATGTATGCCTTCAGATTCATCTTTTAAAAGCTCATTTCCTGCCAACAATACATTCTGAGTTCTTTAAATATGAAACTGATGTTAAATTAGTCGGTCTGAAAAAACTCAGCTGAAATTAATGCAAATGATTAGGTGGTATGTAGCACACTCTTGCAATGGAAATGGAGTCTATTATTAGGCAGCCTGATATGTGTGGAAATATGACTAGTGATCTGTAACAGTTTCCTGATGTAACCCTACCCAGCAGTGAGGAAAGAGCACTGACTGTTGAAGAATTTTATTTGCCACTGCAAGCAATATGGGCTAGGACACCTTACCCCAGCCAGCTGAGCACTGTGATTTTATTAATGTTGTCTTTAATTGGTAAACAAGAACCAAGATTTTAATGTTTTGAATTTTACTTTTCTAGTTTTGCAGGGTTCCTTTCCAAGAAGCTATTTCCAGAGATGCTGCAACTTACATTTTATCTGAGAGCCTTTCCTTCTGTCCTCATGCTTCATTCAAATCATGAGCCCATAGGTTCAAATGTTTTTTAGAAGATGAAAGGACAGGTACAATGTGATAATCTATGCCTTATTTGCTTGAAAACAGGTCATCAGCATTGACAGTGAGAGGGGTGGGTAAAGATGGTAGATGTAGGTAAACAGTTTTGCCATGTAGAATTCTGGATTGTCCTGTGTTTTATAGTCCCTGACAAACAGATCTGGAACAGATGGAATGAGATGGTTAAGTAATTACTCTTTATTGTACAAGAAAAAGTTATTGTTTATTGCATAAATTATTCAGTTACTGTGGAGTCAGTCATTAATAGAATATTTATATTCTTATTTGCAGATCCTATGAAAGTTTATTGTAGTTGCTGAAACACAAGACAAATGAAACTGTGAAATATTACTAAATTTAAAGTGTACTCTGTGCCTTGCTGAATTGATGGGCTTTACCATTAGCTGCAGGAAGAGGTTACATTCCTTTGATAGCTGTTAATTTGTCTACATCATGCTGATCCTGGATTCCTGCATCCAGCACTGACATTGAACAATGTGCTGAGTAAGGGCTATAAAAATTGATGGAGATGTTTGCATAGCATTAAACTGACATGGAGGTATTTTTTTTTTAATAGAGAGATATTTCACTTCTGGTCATTCAGGAGGACCTTTCACATATACATAGGGTGAATATGTTGGACTGAGCATGGTACCAGCTGGATAAAAAATGGCAAAATTAGAAATAATACAGAAATCCAGTTGAACAGGACAGAAAGCAGAAAAAGTTGATTCTTGTGAAACAGAATTTCTCAAACTCAGAGGACCCATTTCAGTGATGTTTTGCTGTAGACTCAATTAAGTTGAAGAGCCAAGTTAAAGACTTGTCAGTCTTCATACAAAAAACAGTGTTTAGAGATGTGTCAATATGCTCTCTGATTACCAAAATCCATTTAGAATTTTTTTTTTTAAAGCTATTTGTTTTTTCAAATGTTGGCTTTTAAAGAACCAAAACAGTTCTGAGGTTATACACACATGCTCAACTTGAACTGTGCTCTATCAGGTAATGAATTTTCTCAGCGCAGCTGCTGTTCCTGATTTCTCACTTTCATGGCTCTGTGGCAAAGGCTTGGCTCCTTTCTTGTATGTCCAAGTATGCTGTGACAGCATCTTATGTTAGTTTTCTGTAGTGTGTCCACAGCTTCTTACAACTCTCTTGCTCAGCTATAGCCATGAGTTCGATGTTTGGAGTACTTGCTTGGGTTTTTTTCACTAGTATTAAATAATCACATCAGTCCAAGCCGACTTTATTAGCCCTAGTGTCATTTCACGTTTTCAGGATCTAGAGGCCCAGATGTCTGAAATTAGCAACTTGATGAAATTCTTGACTAGAGCTATATAAAGAGAATAAAAAATGACTGGTGCCTGTACTCTGACTGCAGATGCTTAAGGTTTCGTCCACTGAGGAAAGGGAACCTTGTGCATGTGTTTGAGGAAGAGCTGAGACGGGACAGATCCTGCAGTTCTGTGGTGTCCCTGCTGTGCTTTCTTCTCTTTGGGTCACTAGTGTCAGGTGCAGGTGTTGTGCTGTGTTTGCTGCAGTTTTGTGAGGGGGAGGAGAACACATGGCTGGACTGTGGGGCTGAGCACAAAGCCCCCACCAGTCTGTTCACTTAGTGTGCAAAAAGGAGCATCATGGAATGCTCAGGTGTTTACTGAGTGCCTCAGGAGGCTTCAGGGGAGCAGCCCTGCACCCGTTCCTGACTGAGACCCCGTGCTGCTGTACAGGGATTAGGTATGGTGGTTTTCCAGGCCATCATTTTAAGTTGTGTTTTCTGCAAGTCAAACTGCTTGCTTAAGGCATCCAGCTGCATCGTTATGGGTGTGTTGCTGTAAATGCACTCACAGAACCTCTGCAAATGCTCTTTTCTTTTATTTTACCGAAGATCAGCTGGGTGTTTCTGTGGTGTGAGCTCAGGTGTGACTGCTGGCACAACATGCTGTACTGTGCTGCATGGCTGGGAAGGAGCTCGGGGCAATTCCTGTCTGAGCTGCCTTTGCAGTCATGGTCCCTAGCAGTGCGACTGCAGCAAATGCTTTTCTCCTCTGCCTTTGGCTCCAGCCTTAATCTTACCTGGTCAGTTAGACTGCCAAATTCAATTTCACTTAATTCAAATTAATGTATTTTCCTCTTTTGTTTCTCTCATTGCAGGCTGCAAAATTATCTGTCTAACCTCTTCCCTCCTTTCCCGTGTCACACACAGCTCATGTTGAAAAGTCAACATGTTTCCAGTGATTAAAGACTAGATGCAGCTGAGTAACAAGATGAATACCTACACCCCGTTTTGTAAATGGCCAGTGCTCTGACCAACTCAATATTTACAGATTGTATCTAAATTGTGTTGGGTTTTGTGGTTATATGTTTAAATTTTTGATATATGACATGCATATCAGGTTGGATTAGGGCACACTGTCTTCTGTTGGAATCAAATTACTTTACTTTTTAATTAAAATATCCCTGGGTTGGAATGGCTGTGTGCCTGCTTTGCATTACTTAGGGGACCATCCTCCCCAGTTTGGATAACTGAAATCTTCTGGCATGTCTTTCTCAGATTCTGTGAATTACAATAAATGCTTTGCATGAGGTTGTGCAAGAGATCAGAAAAATGCTTGATGAAATAACATTTGCTTCAAGTTAAGCAGAGTCATGCGGAGGTGCTGTGAAGAAGTAGGGAACAAAAAATATATTTGTGAGACTAGGTTTGACAGTCTGGTGCTTCCCTGGTGTATTCATGATATGAAACAATTAAGAAGTCACTCTTCTGGGTGTATGAATTTTAGGTACCAAAAAGAATCCTGGAAGAGAGAGATGGGAAGAAGAAATTCCCACTGAGCAGATCATTACCTTGTTGCTTTAGAAACAGAGACCTGAAATTTCATATGGCTGACTGAATAACTCCAAATAGGGTTTCAGCATATCTGAAACTGGAAAACTTGATGGAGATGCTGCTGCTATCTAAGTTCCTCTGGGGGAAGGTCTGCACTTTGAGGGTCTTCTTTTGAGTTTTCTCAAATTTTGTTCAAGAATTAGTATTACAAGATGGCATAAAGCAGAACTTACTGAACATAACAGGAGCAACTCTTT